GCTTGCAGAAACTGCTGGCAGGTTAACATCCCCACACCCCCTTAGGAAATCTAGTGATGACACAGCTGTAGGCAAGTGGTCCTGGGCAAGTTACTCAAAGCCAACCAAGCTGCTTCAGATGCTGAGGTGAAGTGACCCAACTTGCAGAAGTGCTGCTCTCTGTGGGACTGCTCAGTTTGTGGGAGTATTATAAAGTTAAGTCCAAGTTAAGAACGTAGCTTTCTATTTTGCAGAACATCTCACGAAGTGTGAAGCAGACCTGTCAGGTGCCAGGTTGGTGGTAACATAAACTATTGGTTTTGTCTCCCGTCAGGGGTGGGTCTAGCTTAGATGGCTAAAGCGGTCACTGTTCTCAGCTCTTTACCCTTCTCCCTTCTAGACCTGAGCTCCCTCAGCTTACAACTAGCATAACAGGATAAACTATAATTGGGGCTGGTACAGACCTCAGCCATCCCAGTTAAACTCACTGCCAGCCATGCTTATTTCTTACCTGACCAGAGGAAAAGACAGACATTTGGGAGGGTCTGTAAGAGTGAGCTGCTTTTTAAATAAAAGAAATGAAATAATTTTTTCTATCTAGAAGAGATACCTCAATCAGTGGGGCATGTACTCTTAATTCTCACTGCCCATTTAAGCAACAGAGAACTTATTAAGCTACATTTAGCCTAGTAAGGCTGATCTCTCTAGACTCCCTATGTTATTGCTGGACAGACAGAAAATCTATGGTATAGCTCCAGCTTTCACGCTGGTGCATAAGCCATGATCTTCAGGGCACTTGGCTAGACTTGTCTTTTCTGCAACATTAAAAAAGGTGAGCTGCCTGAATTGGTGGAGGCAGGTTCTGTATTTATGAAGTGTCACTAGGATGCTGACATGTTAGGAGAATGGGTTCTGTAAAGCGTGTCTTTATGCTTTCATAGGTAATTCAATAATAGCAAAACCCACCAAGACTATTTTGAGACTGTCATTAAATGAACAGCAAAGGGTCACATATATGAAAAAGTAACTCATTTCTACTCAGATTGAAAGGAGGCAAAAATCCATCCATTTCTGATTCATATAAAGTTATTATATTTACCTGATTTGCAATTCAAAATGAAAAAAAGAACCCACCAACTATAGGTTTACATGGCAACTGTGTACTCGCAAAGCAAACACATTGATTTGGTGTAAAATGATGTAGAGTGGACGCCAGACAGTTACCTAACACAAGTGGAAAGCAGCTGCCTGTTAGAGAAGACTTTTAAGCAGAAAGCCAGCCCCAGTCAGAAAAAGGAGTTGAATCATGCAGCTGTTTTTCCAGCAATGCCAACTTCAGGTGTAAAGTGTTTGATACACAAGAAAAATGACTCATCCTGTTCAGGGCAAATCACTTTCTCTGCGGACCACGCTCAGCTCAGCAGCAGCATGGGGAAGGCTGCACAGGCACAGTGGCAGTCTCGCTAGGAAAGAAACAGAGTAAGAAATAAAAATAAAAATAAAAGAAAATATGTGTGAGAGCAACCACAAAGAGATATCAGAATAGGTAACTGCAGAGAAAAAAGGGACATGAAGGAAAGGAAGGGAGAAGGGAGAAGAAAAGAGAAATGAAGGAAAAAAGACTAAGGAGAAGGAAGAATGTTGGAAGAGACACAGACAGATAACAGTAGGGAAGATATTTTGTGACACTTCAGCTGTTTTATTAGTGAGCCATTAAACCAATGAGAATTTCTCTTCCTACTTGAACCTTCTTAAAACTTCTTTATGGTAGTGGTGATCTGACTATGCCGGTCCTTTACCTGCTTTCCTAATTCTGAAGGATACATGGGACACCTGTATCATGGATGCCACACCTCAGGTCTTATCTGCCAGTAGCAGCAGTTACCAAAGACAGGGGGCTTGAACGTCAGTTCTGCTCCCAGCTACGCAGGTTTCAACGCTACCTATGCTCACCACTTGAGCATTGCTACCAGAGCACCTTCCAGCTGTGGGGTCAACAAATGTGACTGATGATCTGCCACATGTTGTCCTTTCCTTCTCTCTCCACAGGGAGAAAAAGCAAAAGGCAGGAACCTTAGGTGCTCATCTCTGCAGGACACACCGGCAGCCAGCACACGTGTAATGCAGCACCATGGAACTGAGCTGAGCTACCTAGAAGGGTATTTACACAGCTTCACCCAACATGGAACCACTGATGCCTGTGACACTTAAAGTCACATCAAACTGATTAAATGCTCCTCAAACTTCATCTTCTAAGCAGAAGGAAATGCAAAAAGGAAACAACAGCAGAAATGCTGAGAAGTAAATGAAGTTTTCCTTATACTTTGATTACTCTGGGATTAGATTCTTGCTTTGAGGCATGGGCCAATGGATGCACACAAACTAAGCTGGGCACTCACAGTGCTTTGCTGGCTTGCGCATGTGTCCAAAGAAGAGAGAAATAAGGAAAAGTAGCCATGAATATACAAGCGGCCATGGATGTTCCTTGCCATGCCCCTCCGTCTTTGAGATTTACTACACTCTCAGCCTGAGCCTCTGTGGAAATTAAGAACTGAGATAATGTTTAAATGCTCTGCAGGTCCTATGGGAGAAAGGAGGGCTTTTTCTCATAAACAAGTCCACAGCCACACAGTGTTGCTTCTAAGAAAAAGATACAGGTTAAAAAACATAACTGAAATAGAGCTAACAGGACAGTGCCCCTTCAAAAAGGAGCAAACATTTGTCTTTTTCTTTATGCTACAGCAGGAGGACAGCTGTCCTATCCCTTTATGTTCACGAGGAGTTGTCCCTCACTCTGCCATCAGACCTTGCTGTATACAGGTGTCAGGCTTACACTGTGGCTCAGCTGTAAACAAAGCCTGCCCTAGCCAAGCTGCATAACCTACAGAGGTCATGCCCAACGACGCCTTGACTTCTTCATCCGTGCTTCCTGCCTAGCGCTGACACAAGTGGGCCCACAGTAGCCAGGAGGGGTAGTAGGTGTCAGATGGGCACTGCAGTCTGTGTGTGACTGGCAAAGCTTTCTAAATTAAAAAGACTACCTTGGTACGTCACTGCAACTTCCCACCAACAAACGCCAAATCAGAGGAGACAGACTCCTTCAGACACTGAATGCTGCAGGGGCCTCTTGATCTATGGATACATTCCTTGTATTTTAAAATCTTCATGCTTGGCCACTATTTCATGCTTTCTTGGCTGATGGAGCCAATGCTGAGGTTTAGCCAGGGAGAGCTATTTACACTACGCCAACTACTGATATTTACCTCTCCTTGTTCTGTAGGTGCCAGAGGACATAAATAGCTCTTCTTGACTGACCTTAAAGAAAAGCTGCCAGCCACAGAAAAGTAAAATGCTATGGCTGCCTTAAACTTCCCTCCTGACTGATGTTTAGTTATTAGGAGGAAACACTGTTCCTGGGTTAGGGAGCCCGATGAACTCATTGACCATGGTCACTCCCATTTTGAATGTCATTCACTTGGCATTTCACCAGCAGAGTCAAGTGTTGCTCTGCAGCGTGGGCAAGCAGGCAGGCATCCTTCCACGGCTGGACTGGGATTATTTCCATACTAAACCTCTCATGGTTGTGGATCCTAAGGGACTCACAAGATTTAAAATGATTAAGATTATTAAGACCGAAATATTATTTCAGGTTGCAGTTCTGATAACATTTTTTAAGTTAGGAAAAAAATATCATCAGCCATTGCATCTGGCCCTTCAATAAAAATGATACCTTAGTATGAGATCAGCCTAGGGCCTCTGTACTCCTAATGTGCAACCAAGTCTATTTGAGTCTATTTACTGTATATTTTACATGTGAGTATCTACCTGGAATGACAATCCATTACTTTTACAGACTCTTTTATGCACAACCTCCCCGTTCAGGAAAAGCATGCCTGGGGAATACAATGAGGCGAGTGCCGTTCCTGGATATAGATGCTTTCCTGAATTTGAAGAATTTGTTACCGTGTAGATCCAACCCCCCAGTATTATACCTGCCAAGGAGCCAGAAAGCACAGAGGGAACTGTGTGCTGGAAGATCTGGTTAAACGTATCAAAGATGCTTCTAGACAGCCTCTTTTTGCTCATTTGCTTTGTTCAAGGCCACCTCTAAAGACACGTTCGAGTCCCTAATGAACCATGATGACTTCTAGATTAACAAAATCAGGATTTCAGTAATCACAGGAAAAAGAAAACTCATAAAAATGCAGGTCATTCTAGTCCCATCTATTTTGAGTCCCTTAAGTTTTCTGATTTTAAACGTAGTGAATGTTTTAGTCCCATGCCAGCAGTATTTTGAATAGTTTTTAACAACAGGCATATAAATGAGGAGTGCAAGTAAGTTTTCTTACCTCACAAAACATAGGCAACTTTTTGGCAAAATCCACCACTCTTGTAATCGCTGGTGTGATAATTTTTGTAAACTGGCTGAAGGCTTCTAAATCCACTTTCCCACCTTCTGGGGCATTAACTATTGGTGCCTGCCCAATATCTTCTGGCTAAGGATATAAACAAAGATATTTAAAGGAACAATCTATCTTAGAGCAAGTATTTTATACTCTTAGAAAGTCCTGCTTGGTGACGGAAGATATGCTAAACCAAAAAATAACACTATTCACTTTATAAGTAATGTTCATTACGCCACAAAATGTGAATTTGTTTGGAAGACATTTGTGAAAGAGGTGACTGCACAGAGAAACGGGTGACTGGCATGCTGCTACCCATCCTGTGTGGGCAGCTGCATTTTTGTGCACATGCAGTTTCTTCCTTGTGCCTGTATCTGCCTATTTTGTGGGTGTAGCTTATGCATTTTTTGCTTAAAAATATAGGCATGTTCTTGTTTCTTACAGGTGCTGAGAACTCTCAAGTTTCTCTAAAAGCGAAGGGAGCTGAGGTGACTTGTTACCCCCGAGAAGATGCTGAGAGCTTTGCAGAATTGGGCTCTTTCACCTACTCAAAGTTCTGAAATCCTCCCCAGAACAGATTGCCTGGTATCACAGAGCTCCAGGCAACTGCCCAGGCTTGTTTCCGAAACTAGGCAAAACAACTGATGACTAGGAATGGGCAAACACAAAGCTAGTCTGGAAAAAGTGACTAGAATTTGAACTCGTCTGGGCAAAATTCTGGTTGAAAATCACCTTCTGCATGACTTCAGGCCAAGACTTCTCCAACAGAGAAAAAAAAAATCATATTTTGAGGATTTCAATAGGGATATACAATGAAATAGTTTCAAGCAGAATCTGTGATGAGTGTTTTTTTATTCCAACTGCACTTCAACTTGTTCACCTGATTTTATGACAGCTCATCAATGTTACCATGTATTTTAAAAACAGACATATCAAAGCCATTCTGTTTGCTAAGTGTGGCTCTGCAGTTGTAAAAGACCTGCCAACCACCATGCAGAGCTTCCATTTTGTTCACATTAAAAGAGTCAAAAACTGGATAAAACCCAAAGAAGGCGGCCTTTAAGACTGATGGACTACATGACATTTATATAAGGGCACTTAAACGGGAGAGGTGCTGAAAGTGCTGTCTATAATAGAAACTTGTGCTCGGTAGTTTTTTAAAGCAACACATCATAGAAGATCCTTCCACAGCTCTGTCACCAATCTGAATCCAAATCTAACTTCTTTCAAGAAAAAACTCAGCAATGCCTTAAAAAAGCAAGCACCAATTGTAAAAGAACAATGAAGAGGACTGGGCTCAATTATCTGATGGTTCCTAGTAAAAAACTCAAATAATGCCACTTCTAGGCTCCCTCCCTCCCTCAGTCTTGGGAAACTAAACCCCATTGTCTGTGTGCTCATGATAAACAACCTTCATCACTTCCAAGCAAGAAGACCAAATGCTTAAAACCACGCATACCATTGTTAGGGAGAAAAAGAAAGAACACAGCATTTTCTTGGGAAAGGCAAAAGAAGTCAGGATTGCTAGCTAACGCTAACACACTCCAGAAGGGCATGCAATTGGAGAGCCAATGCTACCTAACTCACCTCAATAGGAAAAGAGGTCCAGACCTCAAAGGAGCTCCTGCTGTTGAAGAACCAGCCTCAGCTGCCTAAGGAACTGACCCACAGCTCCTGGGGTGTGCAGTCAGCTCCTCTTGCTCTTCAACAGCTTCTGGCAGAGGTTTTCAAAACCCTCCGCCTGGGGCTGGCAGGCCATCCTGGACTTCCCCTTCTGTGCTCACTGCCAGGTGTCAGTGAGCTTCCTACACTTGCCTTGAAACCACTGTGCTTTCAGCACATGAGCACTGCAAAGAACTAGGAGGCCCTGCAGCAAGGGCTGCACTGAGAGCAGTTTGGTCTGGCCTAGGAACCAGCTGTGGAAGTCACAGCTGGTTTCTGAACTGCCCGTTACAGCTGCCATCCCCGCCTCTCCCCATCCAGCATGGCAGTGCTAGGTTAATGCACATGGACTTCATGATCTTAAAGGTCTTTTCCAACCTAAATGATTCTATGATTCTATGATCTGTCCCCTCTCCCAACAGCCCTGTCATTACACCACCTCATGCCTGGCCTCTGGGCACCCTTTGCTGGGGGCTCCCCCTCTGCTGTGACTGTCTCCAGAACCTGAAGTCCCTCAACGACCACATTTTACGTGGCCCAGTCCCTACCAGCTTTCTACCCGTGTCCTCATTCCCAGCCCAAAGCTCAAGCTCCCCATGCTTCATCCCAAACCAGGAGATCCTGAAATAACAGCACTCCTGCCTCATTAATCAAATGCACTATTGCAGCTGCTTCTTGGTCTGCTAAAACCAGTGCTGCAAACCTTGCTGTGCATCACCACTGGAAAGTGCTCTGCTGCTTCTTGCCAGTGATCACTGGCTGTGGTTTCCCGACTGCATGCTACTATGAACATGCAGCCATTCATACAGAAATATAGACAGTGCCACTGGAATTAACAAAACATTATAAAAGGGATCAGCTGGTTTGAATATATAATTTCTCTTAGCAATTTAACAGTGGGTCAAGATTCACATGGTGAATTAGGCAGCAGGAGCCTAGGGCTTGCAAAAAAATGAATATTCTCTATCTGATTTGGTATACACAGACTGTTAAAGACCCCTGTGTATTCCTGACATGCAGTCTATAATCCCTCTTTTGTGCTGTATAAGCATTTTGCATTCTGCACTTATTTCCTTTAAAAATCAATGTAGAAAAAGTCAAATAAATCCTTTTCTAAGGCTGAGCATCACAAATCACCATTTATTTTCTGATCCTTAGTTATAGGCTGAAAACTTAAGTCGTCTTGTAGTCTGCAATCCCAATACTATAATGTATGTATTATCCTGCTTTCATTGAAATTAATTTTTCTTTGCCAAATTTATTTTAATTAATGTGTTCACTTTGGAACAATGAAGCAAAACCCACCAGTTATTAATAAAGAATATCAGCTTTACTTAAAACTTGTCATTGATTTTACCACTTACAGTATGTTGTATGCTAGTGCCTAATAAAGACAACTATCCCTAGATACAATCTATAAAAAAGATATGGTATGCATTATAGACTGGTACTGCTGTTAATCAGGAGTGAAACAACTGTGCTACTTTTTCTGATCACAGCACATTAAAGGTATCCAGCTGGGTAAGCCTTAACTCAGCAACATGCAGTTTATCTTCTGAAATACTTAGTCTGATGAAACACTGAGCTTCAGGTAAGAATAAGCAAGTAGTAATTATTAAAATAATCTATTTTTCATGTATGTCAATACACTGACAGATAGCTCCTCTGTCGGGTTGCAATGTTGGGAAGGGACTTCAGAAGAAAGGAAGGAACCTGACTCCAAGAGCAGTGTAAAATTCTACAGTCCTTACCAGAAATTTCCTTTTCTGCTTCCAGTGGCTTCCTTGTGCATTGGTGGCCACATGTGCTTCAGTAACAATTTTGATGAGCTCCCATTCCTCATCTGTTGGCTCTGGTTTGTGCCCAATTGTTTTCTGCAGCTCTTCCCGACGTCTCTTCTCTCGATTTTCTTCTATCAGCTTCCTTTTTGCCAGCCGCTTGCTGTCATCCAACACCACTAGCAGGGGAAAAAGCATACAAGAATGGCAGGAAGCTCTTTAAGGCTGACTGAACTTTGGTCTTTTCTATGCCTGAGGTACTAATTGATTACAAATACCTTAACTAATCAGTAAAGAGGTACTTTGGTAAGACCCACAGTTGACATAGTTCTCTTATTTCTCTCTTGAAACTTCATTTTCTCAGAAGCCTGGATTGCAAAGAACAGCCTACCCTTCTGTTAACGCAATGTATACTACCATTGCCTTCAGTGGCTTATTCCACCAATAAAACTAATACGTAAAAGCTTTGTGAGGACTCACAGTGCTCCTAGAATGGACCTGGGAGTAATTCATGTTGGGAAAGATGCACTTTTGTTTTCTTTAAAGTAGTATCAGCACACTCACTGCTCTGAGTTGTGTAGAATGTGTTCTTGTAAGCCAGCAGAAGGTAACACAGATTTAAGAAAGTGGGAGTACTTATTCACAGGAGGCTCAACTACCTATTGCATGATGCAATCAGAAACAATTTGCCTTTGGCTCCTTCCGTAAGCCCTAAAAATGGTGCTGTTCTGTGGCTTTCCCCTAGAGCCCCGCTACTTCCAGTGATGTCAGACACACAGGCCCCAGGGCTGCACGCCTCTGACCAGCACAGAAGGTTTTATCCAGTTTTCCATACAAACGGGAATAGGCCACTTAAAACAGACTGGCCCGCTTTAGCGGAGGAGGACCATTCAGATCCACAACTGGTGGCAGGCAGGCTGGAGCAACGAAAGCCTTGCTTACACGCTTCTGTTCACACATGTTAACTCTAAGGTGGGAGAAACCCTTCTTGAGTTGGGGGACAGCTGGCTTGTCTGACGTGCTCACCGACACCTCCTTTGGTGCGTACGCAGGTGCAGCCCACAAAGGCCGTACCAGCTTTATGGTATTGGCACTTGCTGGGCAGAACCAGACTCGGAGAAACTTCTCACTCTGTGCGGCCGCTACCCGGCTGATGCTCACCACTGCCTGCCGTGTCAGACTGGGCTGGATGTGAAGTGGTGACCCAGGGTCATCCAGCCCCTGCTTCTGAAGGTCTACCTGCCTAAAATTGAAATTTTGTCATTTCTTCTATTTCCCTCTAGACCAAAGACACTGTTATACATTACATCACCAATGAAAAACACTGTTAGAATATTCTTCTGTTGTTTATTGGGCCTGATTTCCCGTCAGTTCTTCTGCAGAGGATTACGCAGGCAACAACCATTAACATTAATGCACAGGGGGATTTACGTGACTTCCTTCCATTTGTACTAATTGAAGTTATCAGTGTAAATCCCTGTGCAACGGCAGGAAAAGAAGACCCCTAAGGGTTAATCTTACAGCCATATGTTCTAGTTCTTTAGAATGAGAGTCGAATTCTTTGCAGTAGTTAACTTCTTCAGGGCTAAAAATAAAACAAACAACTGCAGGATGACTCATCCAACGACATTCAATTTCACATCCTCCAGAATTTTCTAAACAAGATGGGTTTTTTTCAAGCAAAGTGTCCATCCAGATGCAATTCTCCCTCCTCTCCTCCAAAGAGTGAACATTCCTAGTGTTACTCAGCCTGCTAAGGCCAGGAGAAGGTGCAGTCTGGTGAAGGATAAACAAGAAATTACAGTCCTATGAAAGTGGTTTCATGCAGTGAGCATAATTCCCCGGTACAAGTTATTAAAAACAAAGAAGTGCTGACAGTTCTGCTCTACTTTAGCCATCTTCACCAATCAACATACTTCAAGCAAACTCACACATTAAAAAAAAAAACCAAACAAAAAAACAAAAAGAGAAAAGAAAGAAAAACAGAAAAATATACTTACAATCTGTTGCCATGCCAACAAAGATACATTTTTTGAAGCGACATTCCTGGCACTGATTTCTTGTTACTTTGTCTATCACACATTTTCCTTCATATTTACAGGAATAGGTTGGATGGAGGTTTTTCTGAATGGTTCTTCTAAAAAAACCCTAAGTGCAATAAATAAATACATTGGAAAGCATTAGCGCTGTGCAATTTTTTCAAACTGGGAGCCACTTTGGTTTGGTAGGAATGTACCTAGGTATGCAAGATAACATACTTCATTCCATGAAACTATCAAAGAGGAAGAGAACAAAACAGTTCCTCCCTAGAAGTTAAAAACATATAGACATCTTAGGTAAGTAAAGGCATAAGTAATGCTGTCTTGAGGGACAAATACTGTCTACATGTCTTCTTGAAGTCTTATGTTTCTGTGTGTTAAATATTTTGTATTTGAATTAGAGAGTTTATTTTGAGGCCCTTTCTAAATTACATATATTAAGAGGATATTAAGAGGCATATACATACTTGTAATTAAAGAGCAGCTTCTGCAGATAGTAAGAATGGTGGTGTGTATGTGCTACTAAAGGATTAAGAACAAACAGTTCTACTCCTTTCATTCCATCAAAGCCAAATAACCAACCAACCAACCAACCAACCAAATCTGGGCAAGACTGAGAATTTTGTGAACACAATTACACAGTCTTTGAGTTTGGTTCTAAATAATGGATCCATAATTCTAAAATTACCTGTATTTCTGAGAAGAGGATTTAATTCTTATTTACCACAGACCTCTGTATTCAAAACAAACATCATCCCTCTAAATATAAATCCATTCTATCTATCTACCTACTTACCTATCATAATACAGATCTATATTGCCAATTGCAACATGGATATGAGGTCAGATCCTAAGCTCATGTGAACTAATGTAGCTCCGCTGAATTAATTGCTTTATACACCCCATAGACCCTCGTCTCAGGTAAAGAAATCAGATACAACTTATCTCTGAACATTACGGACCTAATCCTGGTACTAATTTCAACATGACTTTTTTTGTTTATCCCAAGGCCGCAAGATATGGACAAGACAGGCTGTAAAGCAAGAAATTTAGACTTCACTTTAATTTCAGGTTTCACCATTGTTTGAGACCATCTACCTTCTGCAATGCAGCTTGGGACCACTTTGACATAGAGAACATACTGGGACCCTGGTCTTGTTTGACTGAGGCCACTAAGAATGGCTTTGGTTTCAGTGAAAACAATGGCAAAATTCAAGTGAGATTTTACCTAATTAATAGTCTCTTCTGGGATTTTATCCAATGAATAGTGTCTTCACTTCACTAGGCGAAAGGTTTGTTTTTAATCATGTTAAATAACACCCGGTAAAATCTTATAGCAGCGTGTAATTCCTTTTAACACAGAACGTTTAATTAAGTCGTATGGATAAGTCTGTATTTCAGCTTGAGCTCCTAACTCCAGTGAAGACAATAAAGAGCCTTGCCCTCATTAGAGTTTTCTCTTACAAGATCCAGCTCGAGCTAAGAGTACAACTCACTCTTCCTTAATAACGATAAGACCTGAAATCTCAATTAAACTGAGTGCATGAAGCATGTGTGTGAGCCTTTGCAAGACTGGGACCTGTTGGGTTGAGCCAAAATCCAGGAAATCACAGGCAAGATGTCCTTACGTGGGGTTTGGATTAGGTCTCAAACTCTCATCTACCCAACAACTGGATTTGGATCCACTCTCAACACTGTGACAAATTCCTAGAGACAGGACTTGCCCCTCTCCTCCCTGAAGATCAAAGATGGCTCTGGACAACCAGGGACACGGCGTAATCTCTAGTTACAGTAAGAGATGGAAAAATCTCCGATGAATCTCAGGAAGTGGTACTGCACTTCTCTTTTCCAAACCTTGCATGGGACTTAACATAGCTCCAGCTTTACAATGGCAAGGCTCTTCACCACCTGTGTTGGGACCAGCACATTTCACCTTCCCATCTGTTTGCATTTCTCAGAAACTTTTTGCAAAAAATTTCTTTGATCATCTCTAGATACAATGTGATAAGGAAGCTGCTCTTTATATTTGTCCAAACATTTCATCACAGCAGTGTTCTTTTCATCAATAAAAGAAAGCACACTTTATTGTAAGGCAACTACTCTTCCTAAATTCCTTTACTATGCACCTATATAGCAATAGATGCAATGGGTACAGTCCAGAGAAACATTTCAGTAATGTCAGAACTCACTGTTGGTTTATTTGTGTTTAAATTCCTTACAATTTACTCTTCAGAAATCATGTGTGAGGATGCTTTGTTCATGAAAGCACTTGCCAAAGCAAATTTTTGGCTGTCAGCCCTGATTAGTGTTGTTACAAAATTAAAGTGATTTTGAGTGGAAGCAACTAGTAAATGTCAAGTTCATTGAGAACTGATTACATATAACTTTGCTGATAAATCATACAACTTCAAGTGTTTATGCAGATCCTCCAAAGCATGGGTTGAAATTGTCCACACAAAAAACCCCATCTTGTACGATGAATACATTTGCAAGAAGAACAACAAATCAAATCAAAACAAAACAAAACAGTCTGTTTGTAAGCCAGCTATAAGTAGGAGAAAGAAATTAATTACTTTTTGCAAATTGTTGCCTCAGTTCGTTGTGCACATAAGCATTATTTTAAATTGTACATCAGACAGAAGAATCGTATCTGAAGATAAGAGTAAGTTTTGTATGCTGTATCTTTAAAATAGCTGGCAGGCATAACAAGAAATACTTCTGTTGGAGTAACAAAAACCTTAGTAGGAAAGCTGGCGACAGATACAGCCGTTCAGCTGGGAGCAAAAGATATTTCATAATGCCACAGTGTCGCTTACTTCTCATTATATCCAAATTAAGTCACATTCATACATTTTATGTACTGTTGTCATCTGGTATATGGGGTGCAAACGTAAGAATCACTTGTTCAGTTCCGTTTTTTTCAGATATAAGTATTTTTTCATACTATGTATGTATGAGTATACATACTCATACATACATACTATGTATGTATGAGTATAAAACCATTATGAATATTACCACAAACCTGCTATATATAGGATATTTAGGTCTTTGTGCATTTCATAAACGTAACTGAGGGTAATGCTGAACTACTTCAACACATGAGTTACTGTGATGTGAAGCTCTAAAGCCACTCCAAACCCAAAATCTCAGATCCAAATATTTGACTTTGGGGATGAACAGAATATGGCTTTTGTGGCTTAGTCCCATGACACTAATGCATGACATGTGTGGTCCCATTTGTTTAGAAAAACATAATAATTTTTTCTTTTCTGCAGGAAAGAATAGCTTTCTTACAGGATTTCAAGCTATTCAGGCAAATTTATGGCAGTGAAATCATGTAAGATGTGCCTGATTGTGTTACTCAATTTTTTTTTTACTTGCCCAAAGCAATCTCTTTTTTAATTCTGCATGTAGCTTCGGAGATGCAATTTAGGGCTAAAAGCACATTTCAATATGCTTAAGTTAAAGAAGTTAAAATTTTTTTGAAACTGTTTTAATTGGGTGTCAGTGCTTCCCAAAGTGATCGATGTTACTGTCGTATAAGCATGTGGAAGGGATTTTGATTTTTGCTTCTGCGCAGTGACGATGAGAGGCACTGGAAGACTGTTAATTGCTACAGACTCTTCATGGCCATAGGCAGAATCTCAGCTATTGCATAAACAGCTTCACTGGAGTTGCTGGGAGTATGCTGATGTACGCTGGCTGAGAACATGGCCAAAGAAACATTAAAAAATGGAAATGTGAAAGCTAACAGTTAAATAGCAACAACAAAAATCTAAATTTCTTGTTTTCTTTTCAGAAGCAAACACTGCAAAAATCAACTATATTCCTTATGCATATGAAGAGCAGCAGCATAGCCAGATACGGCTTATCATCAGTACTGGATGTTCTTATTCGCTTCTAATCTGTCTTTGTTTTATCTGACAGCACAGTTCAGGAAGTCCGTATAATGGAGGAGCTGGAGAGCTATTTCTGATTCCCACTTTCCCACTGTGCCATTTACCTTGCAACCTTCACAAGTGATGCAGCGATAATGATATCCGGTGGCTTTGTCCCCACATACTACACATAGCTCATCCTTGTCTAAGTAGCTGGGTATATACCCTGTAAAGAAAAAGAGGGTGTGGCATGTAAACTCAATATAAAATTATATGATATATTTGATATATAAATAATATATGAAAATCCACATGTCTATCTGAACTCATGGAATGTCCTGAATAAAAACCTCATGCTAACAATGTTACAGACTTATTTAAACATAGTCTATATCATCTTCTACTTTTCACACTGTTTCAGCATCTACTGGTCAAGGAGAAGCTAGAACATGATTGCTCTCCCCTGAGTGAAATACTACCTGAGAAAAAGAAATATATTTATTTTTACCTCAAAGGCTTTGATGGAAATAAAAAAAAATAACTGCGAGACATATAGTTTCACAAAAAACCCGATATACTTGTATGCTGAAGATGAGATCCCAGGTTGCAGGGTGGCTCAGGGACCTGGTGGTAAGAAATATTTACTGAGAGATCGTTTGTTTCAAAACAGCTCCACAGGTGTGGTTAGAGAAGTACCAGCAACAGGTACCCCAAGCTGTATTGATCAGTCCTTACCTGGGCAGGAACATTTAGTATAGCCTGAATTTAGGGCAAAATACGTGGGCATTCAAACACGTGTGTGTGTACATGCATGTGTTAGAATGACCTTTTCTCTCTGAAGTGGTTTACCAGACACCCAACAAGTGAAATCAAATATTACTGCTATGAAAAACATCTTTTCCCACAATGGGATTTGTTTTGATAATATAAACATATTTTCAATTTGAGCAAAAAACCAAAACAATTCTGATGGCAACCAAAAAGTAATGCTAAACTAAAGAGAACTTTGAAACAGTGTAAAATACAAACCTTTCAAAGTAAGTGTTCCCATGACTCATAATTAATGGAGTTATGGTACATAACTTTTCCTTCTGAAAAATCTCTCTGTAAAGATGTAGCACAGAGATCTCAGATTCCCTTTCGGGGAGAGAGGAAAGTGCAACTATTTATGTAACTCTGTAAAATTATTGAAGTGTAGGAAAGAGTTCACAGAATCCCAGAATGACTGAGGTTGGAAAGGCACCTCTGGAGGTCACCTGGTCCAACCCCCCTGCTCAAGCAGCCAGTTGATCATCTCTAGATGATCAACAACCAGTTGCCCAGGACCATGTCCAGATGGCTTTTGAGTATCTCCAAGGATGGAGACTCCACAGCCTTTCTGGGCAACCTGTGTCAGTGCTTGGTCACTCTCATAGTAAAAAGAAAAGAGTATTTTATTCCCTGTATTTCTGTTTGTGCCCATTGCCTCTTGTCCGGTCACTGGGCACCACTGAGATGAGTCTGGCTCTGTTTTCTATCTGAAAGGGGATGAGGTATTTATACACATTGATAAGATGCCCCTTGAGCCTTCTCTGCTCCAGGCTGAACAGTCCCAGCTCTCTCAGTCTCTCCTCCAGTCCCTTCATCATCTTTGTGGCCCTTTGCTGGACTCGCTCCAGTATGTCCATGCCTTTCTTGTACTGGGGGGCCCAGAACTGGATCTGACACTGCAGATGTGTTTTACCAGAGCTGAGCAGAGGGGAAGGATCACTTCCCTCATCCTGCTGGTGATGATCTTCCTAATGCAGACCAGGATGCCATCGACCTTCCTTGCCTCAAGAACACACTGCTGGCTCACGTTCAACTTGCTGCTCACCAGGAACCCTTAAGTACTTCAATGAAAAGTGCTTACCAGCCAGTCGGCAGCCAGTCTGTACTGCTGCATTTATTATTCCTCCCTCAGTGCAGGGTATGGCATTTCCTTTTGAGGAACTTGAAGAGATGCCTCTTGTCTCATTTCTCCAGCCTGCCTAGGTCACTCTGAATGGCAGCACACCCCTCTGGTGCACCAGCCACTCCTCCCAGTTTTGCATCATCTGCCAACTGGCTGAGTGCAATTTATGAGTGCAATGAGGGAGAGTCCTTTGGATGTGACTGCCTGTACCATTATCCCTTGCCACTGGCTTGCTGAACGCATCTGTAGCACCACACGTTAGACTAGACTTCAAGCTTGCTGTCTTCGCGCAGCCCGCACACTGGTATGGCTCGGTATAGCTCAGGGACTCAGCACACCAGTCACTTGGAGGGCAACCAGCAACAAGACTCAGGGCAGCAGAAGGCTGTTGGAGGATACTGCAAGGGGGGTGGCTGTCATCTTCCTGTGACTAACATGCCACATGCCAGAGAGTCAGCTCAGTAATAGACAGCTAAAATGAAAGTGCCTTCCTAGGGCTACACTTGCTAGAGGTTCTCCAGAGAGAAAAGCCCAAATCAGGGAGAAAATACTTGAAACTAACTGAGCTTTAAATACTTGAACTTTCCGAGGCTATCATCTCCATCCTGCCCCCCTTTTGCTCACATCTGCCTCTGCACGTGCAACACATACGTAACATGGAGCTGATACAGGAGGCAGAAGAGTCAGCAAAGGGATACAGAATTTTCCACTAAATTTCTTGTAAAGATTAATGGCTTCTTGTTATTGCTGGTTACTGTTACTCATGAAACGCAGACTTGGAGTAGCATAGACTACGTCCTCCAAAATTCAGTATTCCTGGTTTGCTTCCTCAGGAATTACTTCTGAATTAAACGCCTTGATATTTCATTAAGTATATAATCTGGTTAGCACTGCTCATGTAATGGCAGCTCTGTTCTATTGGAGGAGCAGGAGACCACTTGTCTAAACCGCTTCCTTAAATATATATAGTAGCTTGCGCATGTGACCACTGGCGTCCATCTCCTTCTTGGAGTTTCATGACTTTATCCAACCCAGAAAAGTTTCCAATCTGGCAGAAAAGACAAATCTCCTACAAGCACTCCTAGTAAAAACGGCATCCTTACATGCAACCACGTTCCCAATTTTGCTGCATCAGAAGCGTTTAAGTGCCAGCTATTAAGCTACTTAAATGTTAAGTATTATGTTCATCACTTTTGCAGGATTGTGCCCATATCACAAGGTAAGCACACACTTTGAACTCTTCTACAGATTCAACAGGAAACATGGATAGAAAAATCTTATCCGAAGAAATCATTGGCAATAGAAGTGTGCAATAAACATCTTTTTTCTTTCTATTACAAATCTGAGAGTAATATCTACACTTTTGTATATTTTTAATCCTCCTTCCAACAGCTTATGGGGTCAGAAACTGCGAGAAACTAGGAAAATTGGACCTTCAGCAGTATTTTAAAACGATATAATTCAGACAAACAGACATCATACCAAGAGGAACAAAGGGACATTCAGTTCTTACAAACCGTAACTCCCACTGTAAATAATTTCTAGTAGCTGCAAACATCCACTCTCACCTCTGTATAAATTCAATGCAATTTCATTTGTAAGACGTGCAGACAAGCAGCCTCAGTGCATTTTCACTGCTACTCAGAAACAGTAGCAGCAGGAGGAAATTCAGCAGTGTTTTTCTAAACTTGATACCAGCATGGAAGCTATGAACAGTGCAATGGAGATTCTTGGGGAAGCCGTGGATGGCAGCAGAGCTGTCTGTTGGATGGTTTGAGGAAGAAGCAGAGCAACAGACTTCTCTTGCTCCTTGCAGCACTTGGGGAAAAAGAGGAGGGGCAGACTAACAGGGACTTGGCTCTCCCATCAGCAAGTACTTTGGCATCTTATGTGTTTAATCTCTGAACCAGAAACAAAAACTCCGATGTGGAAGAAGCAGATGCTATCTGGACAGAGTAACCCAGGTGCTCTCTTATGAAAGAAGAACGTCTGATGACAAATATCATGGGAACGTTGGGTAGGTTCCTATTTCTGGTGTTCATATTTCATCCTGTATTTCTTGGTCAAAATCTACTAACTAAATAGCTAAGAGGAACCGTTCAAAAGCAACACCAATCTCAGTGAATGGTACAATAATAGCCAATATTGTTCCTTGGTCTTTCAAGCCTCTGTCTGCTGTATTCCAGCATCTGCACAGACTGTCATTTGGTGCATCTCGAATGATCCTCAAAGTTAACTATCTGTCAAGTGTGACTTGACATTGTTCATCCCAATGCCCACCTCGGATCTTTGCTCTGAGCAGAGAACATCCATCAATGACCTTGACCTGCCAAGTCTGGTGTTTCCCCTGCAGCCTGAAGTAACTCCTTTGCTCCCCAGACTCCCACCTGCCAGTCCGCCTAATCTCACTGTCTTGGCAAGGCTAAGTACTCAGCAGGACCACTTGCCACTATCTAGAAGAATACGTTGTATAATCCATTATAACCAATCTTGATGGTGATTTACAATATCTTTTAAATCGTAACTGTAGCTTTGTAAACATATGGCAAGAAACAATTCCCTTCAATAGGAAAATGCGCAATGAGTTTGCCCCGGCAGCTGTTAAGGACAGAACGAGATCTGCTAACCTATGCAGTCATCTGAGGTACTCTCCTGCATTAATACTGTATGCCTACACTCTCAAATTACCATTTGCAGGAATGATACCTTAAAGCAGTATATGTGACCCTGCACAGTGCAACAGAGTGGAGAGGCACAAATGAGACACTCGGTGGCTATTCTTCCGCCTGCCGCAACAACGCAAAGAGAAGCTATTGAAATGAAAACAACCCCTGAAAAATGATAAGTGTTTTTTAACTCTGTACCTGGCACACACTAAAAAAACCCCATGTTTTGAGAAAAGTAAAGAACTGATTTAAGTTTTGTTAAAGTATCGTTGCACAGACTTTACATCTCCAGGTCTCTGTCTGTACCGATCATGGAATATTGGCTTAGGGATTAAACCACACCTTAAAAAACATTCTAGGACCCAAACCGTATTTGACTACCAACCAGGGATATGAGTGACATCGATGCAAACAAGTTATGTCTGTATACCAGATGTTCCTTATTGGCTTGTTCCTGATCCACCATAGGCTTATACCTTGCAAGCAGAAAAAGCCATTTTTTTGCTACTGCACATGGACACTTGTGTTTTAAGACCATTATTCAGTATTCACTGTACATTGGCAGAGTCATGTATTAATTATACTCCCTGAAATCTTTCTTTCCCCCATCTGGTATGGTTTACGTGACTAGAGACCACTCACTAAAATGAGGAGTTTAGGACTTATCAGTAAGCTCGTATTCACTTACTAGACACTGCAGTATGAAAATGAAGAAGATGAAATTAATTACTACCTTGAGAATCCCCAACTGTATTAGAACTGAAAAGAAAATTCATACTGCTGTTCTACCGATTCCATAGTCACATTGTAACTCTTTGCAAATTATAAAAAATTACAAGAACCATCCAGATATCATCCTTGACACGATTGTGTAGAAAAAGCTTAAATCCAGTGTTTATTGGAGAAAGCATAGAGCTGAGTGAGAAAAAGCATACTCCGTTCTTGTTTGTGCTATTATCAGTATTGATCTGAAAGGCTGGGCTGATACACTGATCCTTGCTTCCCACTTGCTTTAAATTACTCCTACTGAGAAAAATTGCTTATTTCTCCATAGAGCTTGGAAGCACCGAGAATGTTGTTAAACAGATTCACACATTTCTTGTTAGCTAACTGGCTTGCTTGTCCGCAATTTTGATCTTTGTTGACATTCTTTGGTTTATGGAATTACTAAAATTTGGCAAGAGATTCTGCAAAGACAGAATTTGGAACATTTTTTATAGTCTCTTTTCGCTCAATGGCTTCTCTATGTTATTAACCCTTTTCTTTGGGCTGAGTCAGAAACCTTATCAATAGCAGTGCATTTTGCATAGAAGCGCTGAAAACATTTAGCCCAAACTGTATTATCACTTAAACTGCTGTGATCAGTACTGTACTTGCATCCATTACCAACTATAGGTACAAAATGCACAGAGTAAGAGTCAGACAATGCAATTATTTTTCCCAAAATTGTTTAAACGTTTTTAGAGACCATAGCTTAGTATCACAAACAACTTATTTAGAAATCTAAGCCTCACTGAACATCAGTTTTACTACTGATGCAAAAGTATGACTTAGTTCACTCTCCCATCCTTCATTTGGTTGTGGAAAGGTTACAGCAAAGGAGCTGAGAACGGTTTTTTCACTGACATTTTTATTAAAAAAGAAACATATAATTCCAAATGCATAATGATTTTCTGAATAAGATGCAATTTTTCTGACCAGTGCTATCTCCTTAGACGGGTGGTCAAGAGCAAAATTCATCATTTTTAAGCCCAAAATAATTGTTAACATACTGGGAGCTGCTCTGCCACAAAGGCCAAGATGACAAATGCTCAGTGTTTTTGTAAATTGATTATATGCACACATACTCCCTGCACTGATGAGAAGACATTGTGACACAACCTCCATGTTGCATTTTCTTCGCTACTCAGAAAGTACCCTAATGTTTTCACACCGCTGAGAGCTCGGTTTGGACTAATTCAGTCACATACTCTACCAGTCATACAGTACGTACTCTCAGCTGCATGTAAATTGCCTGAGAAAATATAAAGGGAAATAGTAATGACAATTACAATTATAATAATAACAACAATAACAACTTTCAAAGCCCCATTCTCCCACTGTACCAAGAGCCCTTAAAAAGGTGGCATTAACCTCACCTTGTATCTGGGAAGCAAGGTGAGATGCGGGGCTGAGGAGCCAGCAGTGCTACAGCCCGACTGAAGAATTCCTGCCTCCAAATCCTTGGTTCGGGGGACAGCCTCTGGTTACTTCTGGTCCGCCTCCACAGAGCCTGAAGTTAAAGCCTAACCTCATGGATACCTGCGGGCACCTTTCGCTAACTTTGTCTGGGAAATGTCTGTGCAAAGGCAAGTGAAAGCCAACTCTCATCCTGGTTTTAACTTTGCAGACCTATTTCCTGCATTGTCTAAATGGCCAAAACACTGCACACACACCAAACGTGGGGATACTGAGGTTTCTGGACCTTTGTACGTATTTCTCTTGTGCTTTCCTGACTGCACTACCTCTACCCTGTCACTGGGTACTCCTCCTCACTGTATGGGGGGTGTGAGGAGATGCAGGGACACTTTTGCCTATCTGCTCAGCCTCCGCGCAAGGGAAGGGTGGCACAGGCTCCCCCGGAGCATCGCCCATCCAGCGTGCGGTGCTGCAAGCTCACCACGGCCAGCAGCACTGTAGGAGGGGAAAAATATTCCCATTTAAGCTCTCTGGGACAGAACTGGGAATAGCACCTCGTTCTCATGATGATGAGCCCTGTGCTGCTCATCAGATTTCACAGCCTCATGTAGAAAACAAAGTGTATCTGGTTGCCTGTCTCCTATGGTAGGAACAGGTCCAAAAGGGCTTCCTTAATAAAACAGTAAGTATTGCACGAATATTGCGCTGCTGCCTTTTAAGAGTGCACAGTACAGCACAAAAGATAATGGAGCAACAAGCAGATGCAAAGCTAAAACCCCACCTCAACCTCTTGATTTTCCGGAGCACAATTTTTTTCCTTTAAAATTCAAGTCTTTAATCAGAATTTGTGACAGATAATCAGGAAATAATAGTTTTTAATGTACTGTAATAACTGGAGCAGCTTATGTGCTTTCTTATATTTTAGAATAAGTTGCTATACTTCCTAAATACTTATTTTTTTCCTTTACTGACACACTGTTGCATCTTTGGTTCTTGTTTGTTAGTTATTTTCTGAATTCTTTTAAAGTGACATAAAGATAGAAAAATAATTAAACTCTCCTTCATAAATGATAATTTTTTCAGCATAAAAAATGTTGATTTTTTTTCTTCCCAGAGGGAAAAGAAGACTTTAACCATTTAATAACTAGCAAAAGTTTTGATAGGAAAAGACTCCATGTGCTACTGTAAAGTACAATCTGATTTGAACAGCATATTATTGAGATTACTACAAATTTCAGGGGACTAACAGAAATACCAACTGCAACAATCAAGACTCTTCACAAACACCTGCTTAGGGACTTAATTTTGCTTTAATGGGCTATTACCAAGGCTTCTCTAACAAACTCGCTCGTCCCCCCCCAAATCAATTCTCGATCAATACAGACACACATGCCCTGTGTAGAGCCTTCTGTTCTTAGGGCAGGATTAAAAGATTCGTTAGTTTTACGATAGCTTGGTTAAAAGATGGAAATTAAAAACAAAAAAAGAGAAGATGCACATGTCCCACACAGTTTAGATCTCTTCTGCTTAACAAACTCACCAGTTGCAAAGGTTTGACAGGAGGGAGGCAACTTTTTATTGATTATCACAGTAATAAGGCTCTAAAGAATCCTAAAGCACGTTGCTCAGTCTCCGTGAATGATCAATTAAAAGCCTGCTCGAGAGCCGACTTCCATCAAAATTCACTGCCATTTCTTAGTGAAACTGAGGTAGTAGAAAACAAGGGCCGACAAGCCGTTTTTAAAAACAACTCCGTGTTCTTTCAACCAAACAAGTACAAAAACTTTAAACAGAGCAGATGTCAGGTGTCTGAGTACTGAAATAACTTCCTTAAAGCTCCGATCTAGGTATATCAATTATTATTTATAACCTTTAACATCATGAAAAATGCATGCTTCCCTGACTTTGCAATAGCAAGTCTCTATGTTAATCTTGAGTACTACTTTTCTTTAACCAAAAATAAGACATGGGAAAAGTCTACAAAGGGTTATAAATTCATTAGTTAAAAGCCAATAGCAGATAAATAGCCTTAAAAAGCATTTAAAACGTTGCACAATACAAAAACATGCATTATCCACAACTACGTTTCGTCTACAACTTGATCATGTTCTTACAGCTTCCTAGAACAGGATTTTAAAAAAATATTTCCTTTATTTGAAATACAATGCTGTTCAAAGTATAAAATTAAGACATTTTTCTACCAAACATATAGATTGATTGCACCAAGTGCTAATGAATACAAAAGGGAAATATTTCAGTTTTCCATGTAGTTAGTAAGATTAAACAGTATACTTTTTACTACACAGCCACTTTAAAAGTAGTAAATGGTGTTTTCTCTATCTACCTAACTACATCAGATTCATCTGGGTTTTGGATAACTGCCTACAGAAAATCTGGTCTTAATAGAAAAAGGACATTATGTTGCTACAACAGACTGTATTTTTATTCTTTAATAATGTGATTTTAAAGAAACACAGAGAACGTATACTCTCTATGCGTCAGTTTGCTTGTCTGAGTTCAGAACAAAAACCACTGAAAACATTTCCAAGTGTTTGTTGGTATTTTGGGCACTTTCTCAATTTGCTTTGCTTACTTGAAAGCAAAATAATAAATTCTAAACACAGGCAATGATTTAACCCTGAGGGAGCAGCTATTGCACTCTGATTACCTCTCACAAACATATTGATTAGATCAACTTTTTGGATGCAGAATAGTCCTTCTTGCATAGATATATTCTTGAATTTGCAGTCTTTTTTGCTTTGCATAATCAGAAACTACATGGTTTTCACTCTAGAAGACAGTAACTCCATTAAACGTAATCAATTTCCCATACATATTTACAGTTGTATTTTCAAAATATTTTGCCCGAGTTGCTGAGTAAACAGAGTTCACATTTACTGATAAGGAGGACTCACACAAATTGTTTGTATGTAAGCAGAAACACAGCTTTAAGACACAGAATATATAACGACGACATTTCAGAAGAGAAACTTTCTTATCTGGCTCACTGGTGAATAGCAAATGAACTTAATAGCCCCAGACAGCAGAAAACATGCGATATATTTGCAAATGTCTTTTATAGATTAAGAAAAAGTGCTTGGAAATCCTCATCGCTCACAGAAAACCTTACAATCACCTAGCAACCTATGTTACTGCTGCTTTCAATTTTGAACAGGCAGCCTTCACATTCAAAGATGTATCTGAGCCAACTGATGCAACTGTAAGTTTAAAGCAAAACAAAAACAAAAACAGCGATTTTTTTGTTTGTTTGTTATTTAAAGAAATTGCCCCTACCTTTCTTCTGAGAGTACGATGGCGACTGCACTTGAGAAAAAGTAGGTTTTTCTTCGGTGAAATATTCAGGTTGGTTGTACTGATTCAGGGCCATGTCCATGTCAGAGTACTCGCTTTTAAACACGTTTCCAGGGTAACTACAGGTATAAGGCTGATTCACCGCCCAGGCCTGTTCCATATATATGTTGTTACTGTGCAGGACCTGAGCATCACAACTGCTGTAACCCTGATTATCTTCGATATATGTGCAATAATCAGTGGACTGCATGTAGCAATTGCTGCCAGCAGCTGGGTGCACTTCATATATTTCTTGCATACAGTAGTTCATTTTGTTACCCTATCTCAGCTTCCACTTTACGTACACACACACATGCATACACAGGCAGGCATGCATACACATGGAACGGGAGAGGAGCAATGAATATACACCAACAAAGTCGAGTGCAAAATAGCCCGTTTTACTTTGGAGCGGCACCTGATGTGCTAAAATCCTATTTATATTGGGACGGCTTGTGAACTCCCCTGCCTGTCAAACATATTGGGAAGCAGATTTATGACAGTCAAAGGTCTTAATCTGTGACTGTAAGTTAATTCCAAGGGAAGATGGCAGGCAGGTAGCAATGACCACCAGACAAAGAAGCGACGTCCCGACAACCCTCCTGTTCCCCCGTTTGTCTGGAATAATCATTTTATAAACCATTTCCAGCCTTTTCCAATATGATTAGAAAATGATTACTAAGGCGAGGACACAGTTATGTCACTGTAGTTGTCAACTTAAGTGTGAAGCATTATAAAGACTGCTTAAGAACTCCCAGAGGGGATACGCTGAAAATCCTAAAATCAATAATCCTGTTTTTCAGCATTAAACCATAGAAAATCCAATAGTGCTGTGCTGATGACCCGAACAGTAGTCTAGTTTTACAAAATTTAGCAACTTAATCTGTCATCAGCTTTATTGATTTTGTTTTACAGAATTACATGCATGAATCTCCCCCGCCTTCCACACATACACAATCCTCCCCACTGCCTGGTAATGCATTTACGGGAAAGCAGCTTTTCAAAACTCCAGTGATTTGGGGAGGTAATTTCTATTGAGTTCAACAGGTGGGAAACTTCAAAATACTATAATCAGCAAAAAGAACACTGCTTAAATATTATCAATAAGCTAATTGCTTTGCTATTCTGCTTTGTTATCTTTTATGTTTCAGTAATGAAGTACTTTTAGAAGGGCATCTTTTTCGACAACAGACTGAGTAGAGTAAGGAGGATTTTTTGCTCGTTTTGGCTCACCTACGAGCTATGAACATGTCAATGCCACTACAACAAAAACTATATAATCTTAAAATTGCGTAATGCACCCCAAACCTCAATACGGTTAGCATACCTTGTTTAATCAGCCATTCTTTTTGATCTAGAAGAAATTATTTTATTTTTAACTTATATTAGCTGCTATTTGTTTTTTTCCTAGGCAAAATATATTTTCTCTTTACAGCACAGCTAAAATATGGTAAAACTTGTGAAGTCAGTAACAAGACGGTATCCCTCTTTAATGTTTGTTCTTGTTATTAGGAAGCAGCATTATTATTGATTTGACAATGAAGTCTTAGTTTTCTTATTTCACTGATTTTAAACAATCTACAGGATTGCCAAAATTACCATGTAGGTTGGCCCTTTTTCATCTAGGATCTTAAGTATACATCTAACAACCTTGATGAACGCACACCTAAATGGTTCTCAGAAGTTCAGCGAAATAGGTAAGACCTGGGCATGACATATGCATATTTCTCCCTATTCGATATTGTTTAATGTTTCAGTCTGATGCAAAGAGCCAACGGAGAAATGTTCTCCCTTCCAACATACAACCGTAACTAACCTATCTAAATAAGAAGCATTGCCAATTAGTATCTAATGTGCAGGCTAACAGAATTCAGGATAAGTGCTTCTGAGGATCTGAGAAGTTAAAATTCATGCTTGGATTTTTATTTTTTCCCCCCTCTAACTATAAAAGAAGCATCTTTAACACACATTTCTTATTAACTTGCTCAGAAAACAATAATACATTTGGTAAGTCAAGATGATCTCTATCAAGATCAATTCTACTGAAGTCAATGAAGTTGCTTCCAAAATGAACTTATTCTGCTAAAACTCTGATAATTTAAACTAACACCTTCCTTCATTAAGAGCACTAATAGTTACCAAAACCCCAGAAATAAAAGACAAATGAACCCTCATTCTCCACACTGGTTTTACCAAAGATCTAACTCAACAAATAGCATTGTGAAATACAATGTGAAAAAGCATACAATAAAAGTTCATTTTCATTTTAGCTGAGGCCCATGATCTAGATTTTGCAAACAGTGATTTTGTCTGTGATATAAAGCATGTCTTAGGCAAGATCTGATTTTTCAAGAATGGATGTTCAGCACTTCATAAAAACACGCCCGTGTTTCCTAAGAAACTCTGGAATAGCCTTTTACACAGAAACCCCCAAACCATACCCAGTTGTATGATCGCTTGCTAATACTGTAGTACATACAAATGTAAACACATACAACCTGCTGAGCTTAATTCTCCATACTCCCCAGAAAGAAACCATTCCACAAGTGCAATACGTGGGTTGTTCGTTTGCCACAAAACGATCTCCTGTACAGCTAACAGGAATTCATGTGAGAGCCTGCACAGAAGTAAGGCTTTATTTGACAGGTTAGCAGAGCAGAATACCCAGATACTTTTACACCACCCAGTAAAGCTCTGGAGAACTAGGCTTTAATTCTTAGTGGGAATTTTTCCCCACGTGGATTTCTTTTGACAGAGGAGTTAAAATTCCTATGAATTTTCTCTTCTCTTGTTCTTTTGCCCCTGATTTGATTTAGGTTTGTTACTGAAAAACTAAACAGAATTGAAACTGTGTGTAGACAGAGCCGTCCCAGCCAGGATGGCACCTGAGGATATGGTATCTCGACGTGGCACAGCCCGTGACTTACTTTCTGTTCCAAACTAAATCCCTCAAACATTTTTTATTTTCTATTGCTACATCAATAATGCTTAGAAATGTGCCATATGCATTACTTTTGCCAGAATTACTCTAATACTGCAAGGAAATTAAATTACACGAAACTGTGAAGAATGAGAAGAAAAATGGATGAGAGCCTTTTCTGACAAAAAAAAGAATGATAAACACGGCCAGGGAATGGAGTTTCCTTACCTGTAATGTGCTAACATTAAAGAGGTTTATAGCACTGTGAATTGTTGTTCCCTTGGAAACATATCCGTTCAAAAAACACTGCAAAGATTTAACATCTCCATTAAAATTGAAATATTCCTAACATATTTTCATTTTAATTTCTTAGGGTCCAATCCTGTAGGTCCCATTCATGTATCACTTTGAACTAAATCATCTGATAAAAGACAGTCAGGTGGTGTCTTTATCAGAAGTCTGAAAGTGGAGTAGAAAATAATATTAACAACATTTCTTTGTCTCGTATTCTGATGTGAATATTAAGAGTCTTTAAATCACGTCATGTTGAACTTTCATTGCCTTCAGCAATGTAGTATCGCACTTGGAATTTTACTAGTTCACAAGTGTCTGATTATGTGAATACATGGAAATTAATCAGTAGCAGAATAAAACCTCCAGTGCGAGCAAACAGGGCACTGGTAATACAGAAACTTTGCAGCAGAAGAGGATCCAAAGTTTGAACCTTTCACAGTCTGAGGCATCAGTTCATTGTATTAAAAAAGACAGAAATTACTTGCTGAACGTGAGTCTTGAATGCCCCAAAGGTTTTGAAATACTCGCCCTGGTGTAAATCAGAAGTGAGCGTAGTGCAGTCAGTGATGTTACACTGGGTGGGCAGAAGTCAGGCCAAGAACGCCTGAAAGGAAGTGTCCGCAGGAGAGACTGCCTTGAACTAGACCATGCAGCTCTTCATCAACTCCTCTTTCAAAAGCTCTGACTAAAACTTTTAATTACGAACAATCGGATGCCCTGCTAAGCTGCACTTCTCTTGTCACTTAACTCAGTCACAAAAACCACCAAAATGAACCCAGAAAAATGTTAAGGCAAGACAGTATTCCTGTGGATGATCCTCCTAATGGAGCACCCCAACCAACCGAGATCCCCGACACACAAAAAAGAAGTGTCGTTCAGCGCAATCCACTCCTGTTGTGTACCTCTGCTACCTGAGTGAGTGTGCGGGTGGGATACTACCTGCAAGAGTCATATTCTCCTGACTGTTTCCAAACTGTGCACCCCTGGTCTAGAGCCCTGGCAATCCGAATGCTGCAGTCAGGGCCCCTACGCACCACTTCTAAAAGATTCGGCAGTGTCAGTATGCGGGAAGTACTGCAGAGCCTTCAAATTACTCAGGGCAGAGTGCTGCTTCTAAAGGACCACACGGAAGGATCTTACGTTGGTTGTGTTCACACTTTATGCATACAGATAAATAAAAATACAGTATTTGGTCAAAAAGTTTTACACATTTGAACATGTAGTGGCAAGAATTAAACATACCTTTCTAAACTCCTAACAGTTGTGTACACTTGTATTATCAGCTCCTAGTTTTATAATGCATATTTTTACATGTTACAAAATAACTGTTATATTTCCTATTTGTAAGTTCCTCATTGCCTGCATTCTCTTGGCCACTTCTGATGAAGGTTATGGGTAAAAAAATATTAGATCACTGCTCTTCAAGGAGAAGGCAAATCTGCACCTTCAGGATTCACACCACATAACACGGAACATATCCCAGACAGTCCCCATCTTTTCATATCATAAAGACAATATACTGAATACTGTAATGGCTTTTGAGCAGAAGCACTGATGCAGCTTTTCCAACACATATCATTTGTCAAATACAGCTATCTCTGTGCCCACATGACAAGCTACCACCTCTCTTTAATGTATATATTTGCACTACCTTATTCATTCACCTTGCACCCTGTGACCAGAGACTCAAAACAGTGCCTCAAAAATATGACTATGCAAACTTATTGTTTGAGGAATCTACATATCAAATTATCACATTGGTTCCAAGCCTCGTGGACAGTAGTATTACAGATTAAACTAAGAAAGAAAACCTCAAGCATCAGAATCCAAAATAATACTGAGCGCTTACAAGAACGGAAAATGACCTGTATATAGTATTTATCTTATTTTGAAAACTCTACTTACGACTAAATCATAAAGTATGTAGAATTATGGAATTCTAGTGCTGTAAAGTTACAATAGCATTTGATGGTTCCTGGAGTATGTCTCAGTGGAATCAAAGACATTAAAATTGTCATTTTGTCTACACTATATTTATTATAGCGAGTGATACAGTTGAGGGAAAAAGGGCTAAAG